AATTGTTATTAATGATAACGACCGCAGCACATTAATCAGTGTCTTTGAGATGCCATTATAAATCTGATCATTTTTTGACAGTTTAATTATTCGACTCTAAAACTGTTAGCATTACAAGAAAAACGGAAAATCGCTTGAATCTTCTCTGTTGACAAATCGTTCGATCATACTAACATCTGAATTATTCTCCCAAAGGGAAAATTTTTCTTCCCGAAAATTTCTGTAGTTCATCCACTGAATGTTTAAAACGCTCATGTCTGTTTTCGAAATTTCTCGGAATGATACAATGAACAGAATTTTCAAAATGCAATGAAACAAAATGTGCCGAGGATAAGGGAGGATATGTACATGGGAATTGTCAAGCATGTAAAATGAGTACAAGAAAATGAATAATTTTAAAATCAGTTTAGAAACTTCGCTATTTTTTCAAAAATTGTAACTTGATACTTAATTGCATACCACTGTTAACGATAGAGGTCACGCCGTCTTAAAGAGCAAATTCTACCTGACCTGCTTTGGTAATACATCGCGTCGCAGTCATTGCTTTGATTGTACACTCGCCGTTCTTCGTAGGAAATACACAAACTGTTCTTCACAGCCTGACCTATAACCCCTTTCCGCTTGTACCTCTCCATCTTTTTCTTTCATTACCAATCAATATTCCCTTGCTTTTCATTCCCTGACGACATCCCGTCTTCCACAGTCCATTAATCAAACACCGCCAATTATGAGTTCATCGGATGCTTTTTCTCTTTGAAATGTATTGGTGAAATAGCGTATAGCAGACGACGGCAGAAAGTGCAGTGACATTGTTTTTAGTGTAGCAGATAGTGAAAGAGATGCGAAATGACATAATTGTTGATGGCGTTGGATGTTAGAGGTGAAGGATGAATCTTCTGTGTTGTTATTGATACCGAGTGGAGGTGGCATTTTGCTATATAATTTCGTGAAAAAGTACTCACAGTATTGTAGAGTATAATGTAATGGAGAAGTACCTTGCCAGAGAAGAGACAATAGCTTTAATTAAAATTAATTCATGACATATTCTCTGGCACTATTTAAATATATTTCAGTCAGATACATGTGTGTAAAAATATCTTCAATCTTTGGATAAAAAGCTTTGTGTATGACACTTGGTATACACGAAGCTTTTCATTCATACTACTACTATTGCTAATGTTGATTTTAAAATGTTTCAAAAAATCATGTATTCTAGATTGTGCAGGTGTGATGGTATCATCGCGTAATGTGTTAATCTGTGTACGTTCAATCTACACATCATGTCGCACGAATAGTAAGCCGCTTATTACCGTTACTTGCTTTGTTATCGTTACTTGCTCTCATGCCACACGCACATAACAGTGATGAAATGACAGGATGCAACTAAGTATCCTGCCATTTCATCATTTACCTGTTTAACGATTCCATGTATCTAGAAAGAGGACCGTTAACAATCGATGGCTGGTATCCACGTGATCACATGCCGGACGATTATCCAAAAAATGAGGAAGAACGACGAGCAGCGGCGATAAAATATGGGATGAGACCGGAAGATTACAAGTTAGCCTTGTTATTATATGTTATTAGGAGAAATATGAATGCTGGATATAGAATCTTTGTACCAGCTAACATTTCACTTATTTGGTAAATCGTTATTTTGGTTTCGAAAACGAATGTATTATAATATTTAAGTTGTTATTGTGGTATGTTTTATATTTTTTCTTACAGGCCGTATGACAAGGACGATTATTATAAATATGCAGGAAATTATCCTGATTATGGATGTGTCACTTATGATCATAAAGATCCGCATGAAAACTGGAGCGATCCACACTATCGAAGGAATTGGGGTGAAGGAGTAAGTTGCCTAAAGCTTATAGATGATTTTTGCGAACTTTCGATGCTTATTTAGGAAAAAGTTTTTTAATGTTAAATTACAAATCCATTTGTAATAAAAAAAACAGATATGTTATAATTTAGAACGTTAAAATCAATGTTAATATTAATATGGGTAATTAATTAGTATCATTTGAACTTCGAATTTGAGAAATTATTTTTACTTAATAGTGTTAAAAGTAAATCTGCACAGTTTTGGAAGATCTGGATGTTATCTAGTATTCCACATGGATGAAATTTGTTGGAAGTGTAAGACTTTACATTATCACAAAAGATATCTGTGAGAGTTAGGGATAGTATTTTGGCCTTGTTATTTAACTTAAATTTTTAAAAATTTCAGATGAATATCCGAGCAATGATGCATACATGTGATCGTGATTCCTATACCAGTATAGACGATGAGGAAACTTCATTTTAAGTTTAATTTTGATCAATACTGAAGAATTCGTAACCTATTATTCATTAAAGTGCTTAGCACTATAGTTTTTTAATAGTTTTAATGCATGTAATTTTTTATTTTAGATGGACTAACACGGTAATTTTCTGTCGTCATTTAATTCCAGCACTAATCTTTTGCTGGATTGGCATTCAAACGTGGCCGAAGGGTCGTAAGTGGAAAAATGATATTGTAAGTTTGTTCTGGCTATCATACACTTAAGTCATAAATTAAAAATTTTATATATTTAAAGCTGAAACTTGATGGACCTCTTTTCCTACTGAAGAGAAAAAGCTTATTTATGCTAAAAATAATCAATGGTTTATAAGACTCCTTATAACCTTAAATTTTTGTTTTCAGATGCTTAAACAATATCCCTACGATATCAAGCGGGCTTATCCATTTACTGACCCTCGTATCTATCCAATTACGAATTATACATTTGAACCGCTAGACCAGTAAATCAAATCGAAAAATATTAAATTCATTTGAAAAAAATTACGATTCGATAACGACAGTTGATAGTGTGTTTTTGTTTAACTCGTAGCATTTAAAAATGTATATTTTTTCCAAAACCTTCAGTGTGAATATTCGTCAAGTAATAAAACATTTGCAAAAAGTATCGTGTTTTTTTTTTCTAGTTGTTTTACTTCTATTAATTTGTTTTTTCACTTATCGGCTAAATCGAGACCTGCTATTGCAGTTTGCTGTTTTAGTTATTGATGAGGATTATATTTTTATGTCTCCAGCTTTAAATGTTTTTAGTATTCCATACTCATGTCTATATCGTAAGTGTCCTGAAGTTTAATGCGAAAAAGTGAATTTGAAGTAAGAAATGTTCATATTTATTGGATAAAGATAGGATTTGATGGTAATTCGCTTTTTTTTTTACATGGGTGGTTTTATATAAAAATTGATATCTGATTCTTGCTTCTGTATGTTAGTAACGGGTTTTGTTTGATACCGAGAGGCTGAAAATTGGACATGTTATATTGGTTCCTTTTATTCAAATAAATCTGTGAATGTAAGCATTGGATATTTGTCAGTGTATCAGAAATACTCATAAGGATCAGGAATACTCATAAGGCTGGATCAAAGTTATTCAATAATCAGAGCCGAGAAAGATGTTGTATCTCGAGGATTTCCTGGAATGTGAGTTGCGTATTTAGAATTTAAATCTGGTTTTTGCGATTTGAATTCCTTTTATTAAAAATAATGAATTTAGTTTTATTACAGTACTTGATCAGTTACCGGGTGAGTTGAGAGACAGAAGCACCGAAGTTCGAATGTTGGACCTGCGAGCGCAGCGTAGGTTACCAATAAAAATTTCTATTTTTTTAAAACTTTTTAAGTATCTTTCTAGATAATATCGAAGTTATCTATATATTGTTTGCTGGCAAGTTTTTATTTTAACTAAATTATGAGAACTATGTTGTTTCACACAAATTCAAACAATTTTTACATAGTCTCACTGTTTTAGAAGATTCTTTAGGTTCATTCTAATATTTTTTGTCGAAAAATGTATGAAAACGTAAATTCTGTAATAATTTTTATATTTCTACGAGATTCAATTTTCAGAATTGCATGAGCGCGCGAACAAAGAAAGAGATGAGTTCTTCGCTACAGGTGGTACTCTCCCCCAGGATATTAAAGTGAAGCGCTACAATGAGATCTTGGAGGTGTGTTTGTAAATTACGTTTTATTTTGCGATGCGTTTTTAACAGTCCTTTAGTGAATTTTATTAGAACAAGTTTAGAATCCTGAATTGAAGTTTGTTTTATGCTATCGAGCTGGTTTCAAACATTTTTTTTAGAATGTTATTAGATTTTTTGTCGAAGTTTGGATGAATGTAAATTTTAACTGGAGAATTAAAAGACTTTTTTGTAGCTTTATGCGCAGGCGAAAGCTCTTTCGGCCGAAAAAGTAGCAATCTTGGATGTTTGCCACTCACTACTGCTGAAATATAGTCAAAAGTTAAATAAGGAAATACTGCACTTTAAACTTGAACTTGAAGCTGATAATCCTGGCATCACTGAACAGATCGAAAGAAGTGAATATTAAAATTTTCGTTTGCTCGTTAATCTAGTACTCTCAAAAAAAATATTTTTTTCTATATTTATTTTCATGAAATAACATTCACTTTATAAGTCTTTCTTTTCAGATATGTGCATTCCATATTTCTTGGAATGTTCACTTTGTAATTCTTTCCTCCTTTATCTTTTTTATTCAACGATTGTTTGTTCTTTCCAGAATTCAATGAAGTAGAAAAGAATCTATTTCTTCAACGCAAAGAACGTAAGCATTTTGTTTAACATTTTGCTTCAAATTTTGCCATAAAATAAACACTTTTCTTGATGATGCTTATGTTTTTAAACAAATATTCCTAAAGAAAAGATGGCTTAATTATATTTCAGGAAGACGCAGGTATCGGGAAGCCAATGCTAACCCTGCAGGCATGATAAATGGAAACTCAAATGCACTGTCCGAAACATCGAGTACTGGTTCTTCTCGTGGACAACGAGGTTTCTGTTCAGATTTTGTTCAGATACGCTTATTTAATGTTTTTTTATCTCATACTCGTACTATTTCCTATATTTTAGATTTCGTGGTCCAAAATTGATTTCAGGACAGTTAAATGACACATGCGATGGATTGGATCTGAGTACTCAGACGCAGCAAAGTGGAAGTCATTCAGTGTTATCAACAGCGGGGGCACGCGATGTTGAACCTGGACCAGTTAGTAGCCGAGCGCATAATGCTATTAGCGAGCGCGATTCTGACTTGCCCCCGCTGAAGGTAATCGTGGTGAGTTGACTGGAATACAAATCATATTGCTATACTCGCCTAGTTGTCGTAACTATAAAATTTTCTGTTCATAGCCATAACGCAATACAATAGATTTTGATTCGTTAGTATGAGTTTACAATATTTGTCTCAGAAATTCAGAAACTGAGCTTATGGGGGATTTAAAAAATAATCGAATTCGTGATTTTCATTTGTCTATTTTGTCTATTTTTAATTTTACTTTAACACTTAGCTCTGAATTTAATTTTTTCTAAAATTGCCAACCGGATCTTATAGTATAGTAGGATTACTCAAGCTCATTGCTGCATGGACCTTAGCCGAATATGATTGTTGAATTTAGATTTTTTGGGAAGAGAATGGAGGGCTAACTAAACTATTTACAGATAGCTATATTCACTAAAAATCATGATATTTCATTGATATCTACAGTATTAGATGATTACGATATTTTATTCTTAAGCGATCGCATCCGTCACGGATCATATTAGATGTCCAAAAGATGTAGCACTAAGATCAGTATATTCAATAAGCGGATGAATTTAGAACTGAGTAATTGCATCAGTGGGTTATGTGTTACGTATCTTAAAATACTTCAAGCAATTTTTAAATTCCTCTACAGATCTTAAATTCCTGTAAGTAATTTTGGTACAGGATGAATAAGAAGCACGTTTGCAACAAAATAATCAACTACTGCATTTAAAAACAAATATTAAACATTCACAAAATTATATTCTTGTATTGCGATTTCACGAAATAGTATCTTATCACTTTGCTTCCTTATGAGTTTTTTAGATTATCAAATTGCTCGAGCACGGTAACAGTCGATACTTTGGTGCCATGAGTGGTTTAAATATGCACGCATTCACAATATTAATAAAACTTCGGCACTCATTTTACAGAGACGATCACTTGTCACTCCTCAAAAAATCATTGGTATTAGCAATGTTCATTCGTCAACTGCAGTACATGCTCAATCCGCAGCAGGCAATGCTGTTGATCGTGGTTGGTTATCTAGTTATCAAAATTTCATTTATTTTCGCCTTATAATTGCTTTGTATGATAAAGATCTCGGATGAAATAATTCAAAAATCTTAAGCTTGTTGTTTCTACTGAATGCAGAGCTTCACTTCATCACTTCATATTTGTATTGAGCAGTTTGATTTTCACTTCTGAAATTTGTCAGACTTTTGCGTATTTTCAAAAGAAATTTCAAAGGTGATGGATGGAGCAGTAGCCCAAGTCAAACTCCATCTACCTCTTCAGAAGTACAGCTCTCAGTGCATCATCCGAAAAGCACATCAAATGTTAGTTTCAAAAAAATCAGTGAATTTTTAAAGAGCATTTTTCCAAAAAATTTTTTGATTTCACTTATGAAATAAATGACAATTCATTTCGTAATATTTGCAAATATACTGACAGTCACCTAATGTTATTGCGTTTTTGTCGCCTAATGTCACACCAAAAAAGTTTCTCTGGTCTATCTCCATATTTTTTATATTTTTTTACTTTTTTCAATTTACGTAGTAAATCTATTCTTCATGCTTCCTAGGTATTCACATTCTACGGTTACCTGATACTCTGCAGTAAATCGTAATACTTCACTTGTAATATGAGTTCATGTTGATTACAGTTAGCTTTAGTCAGGTTTGACTAATCGTGTTAATATTTTCAAAAATTTTATGGGGTTTCTTTTAATAAGCTTCAATTTAAGCAAATCGTAACTTCATTTTACTTCATTTCTAATATGGAGAAGTTCATATGGATCATAAAAATTCCCTTTGTTTGAATAGGCCTTTCTCTTTAATCTTTACTTTGTCAAACTGTAATATCGGTGAACTTATAATTTATGAATATGTATTGCTTTATATAAGTCTTTACAAGTGTTATCAACACGAAAGTAGCAAAAACGAAATACTCTTTTAGCCAGGTATCTTTACTGGAACATCTGGACATTCTGGTCCCGGACAGTCAATGATGTCACTTGCCGCCCAAGAAAGTCGACATGGTCGTCCAAGGAAGTAGCTTTTCTTGCTGTATTAATTGCTATAATTTGTTTATAACTTTAGACAATTTCACTGAAAGGTTTTTTGTTTCATATCAATATCCCTGATTCTTCAGTTTTCCTCTAAAGCAATAGATATTTTAGGCTAACCTCTAGAGCTCAAGAAATGCTGTACACTATGCAGCGTCATGAACGTCGTGCAGCAAGTCTTACTACGTGTTCACCTGAATTAATACAGGGAAGCGACGATGAGTCCGATTCAGACCGACGTGTATGGTGTTTTTGTCGTGAAGTAAGTTTAAATTTTTGCTTGAAATACTAATAAGATCTTAAGAAAGGAAAAAATCTGCATTATATTTTTTAAAGCTGTATTCTTGTGTAGTGTGAATAACTGGGGATAGTCTGAATTTTAAAAAAAAAAAACTAGATTTTTGTAGGAAATTATCAGCTTTTCTGGCAAAGAGATGATTTAAATAAGAAAATGAAAATTTTTATTTAAAATCCACCACAGAGTGGGCTTTAAGTGAAAATTTCCGCTTATTTTTGGTATCTCTTTCGAGTTGTTACTTATGTTTCTTGTATCTTGATTTTGAGCCAAAGTGTTGCGTAGCGTCTTTTTTTCTTATCTAATTCTTTTATAGCATTGACGTCGGAGATTATGCTTCCCCTGAAAGAAATGAGAAAGTGAGTATAGATTGAGTAGGGAGATTTGAAGTTTTTTAATATGTGGATTGAAAGTATTATGCAATGAAAAACTTAGGTCTCACCTTAACATTATTCAATGCAAGTAATAAGGATTCAAGGTAGGTTTGTTTGGAGATCGATGGTAAGTAGTAGTTCTTATCTTCATGGTATGAAAAAAATTAATTACCCAAAAATGATCATATAATAAAGAGAGATATGGAGATGAAAGAATATGATACAAAAAGAAGTGGTGTGGAATGGGACTGTATTCTAAAACTTATGTTCCATAAGATTCAGACATCTGGAATTTTAAAGAGAGCATACGAATGTTAATGGTAAAAGCAAATTTTTAAATTGTACGTGCCAATTTTCAAAACAAAAATCGTCTTGATACTTGCTTGAGCTTACCATGAAAACGAGCTCGAGATCTTAGGGTGGTTCATCTTAGAAGCTCTTCAACGCTGTAATCCTGAGTAGGAAGAAGTATTAGGTGATCTTTGAATGGATTTTAGTAGATGATTTATTGTCGTTTTGAAAGACAATATGTTGTACTGAAACTGCTTACGATCAGCACATTTTACGATTGTTCGCTTTTTGTTGATTCGTTAATTTTTAGAAAGGATATGGCTCGATGGTCGCTTGCGATGATCCATCGTGTCGTTATGAGTGGTTCCATTACGGATGTGTTAACGTCATTGAAAAGCCAAAAGGAAAATGGTACTGCCCGGAGTGTGCTCCGAAACATTCAGGATCTGAAATGATTGGCATAAGCAAGACGTAAACTGTAATATGTTTTCAATTTACATTTGCAAAATTGTCCCCTAAGCTGTTCATTTCTTTATGTCAGGTTCAGGTTCTTTTCTTTTTCTATAAATCAATAATTTAAAAAAGAGTCAAAAATATTTGTCATCAGATCCAAGATGCTCACTACTGAGATGAATTCGTGTACACAGTTACATCTTTTTTTTTTCAGAAATTACTCTTTACCTACTTATGGAATTATACGATAATTTTAGTTACCTCTTCTTATCGATATTTTGTCGCATACTTTTTTAATGGTAATTTATTATATGCTTTCTTATTAATCTTTATCGATATATCAAATGCTGTCATATCTGTTATACCTCATATTTCTACTTGACGTAAAGATTGTGTGCGCTTCCGTCTTAAGAACTTATTATTTAAATAACTTGGTGAGACACATAATTCCGGTGCCAAAGCTTAAAGAGCTTTGTGTGTTATAATTTTCTGTAAGAATTAGTGTTTCATCAACATTGCAGTTTTCTATTCTCAGAAAACTCTATTTCTAAAAGTAGGTGTCAAGAGTGAAGCGCTTGGTTACTCTTTGTTTTAATTCACTTATACGAAAGTGTCGGGGATGCTCACCATCTTATTCGGTCAGTGCTTTTTAGTGTTTTTTTGCTTAATTTTTTTGCTTAATTGAAGCTTCTTGAAATATATCTTGCCTCATTATTCGGGTTCTTCCACTGCTCATCTCGAATTACAGTTAGTGTACAGTCTGCTTCTGAAATAATTTTTTTTTTTCTTTTCTGTTAATAATTCTTTTTCACTTAAGAAACATGTCATCAGTATTCTTCTTTTTCTATTCCTATTTTTCTCCGTATTTTTATTATCGTTATTATTGCTATTGTAATCTTTATCAGTACCATTTCTATTTTTCCATATCTCTTAGTTATGTATAATATAGCGTTTAAAACATGAGATAAATTTTCAGGCAATGTTTCATAACTTTTTTCTTGAGTTTGAAAGACCTGAAATCTAACAGTTCAAAAAAAAGTATACGGAAAAAATAAAATAATACCAATTATAGAGAGAAAAAAACGAATGCAATCGTTTGCCAACAAACGAATAGGCATTGGTATGTGCTAACGTGTTGCAAGATAGGCATTTATCATTTGATTTCCTCGAAGTTAATCTTTGAAGTGAATAGCTTAATGAAATAAGGATGCAATGAAATATTTAGCCGGATTGAGATTACTAACTGGTCGTTCCATTGTGATGAAATCAGATTTTATATTTTCCTATGCTTTTTTGGTGTCCAATTTCTCGGTTTATTATTAACTGACAATAAGTTTCACTCTGTTGCATAGTCCCAGCATTCTTAACATCAAATTTCTTCTATTAGAAATTTTGAAAATCTTGAATTAGTTGATACAAGGTTGAGAATATTAGTGTTTTGTATCAGAGCTATTAGGTAGTGCTGTGAAAACTATGTATTGTGTAACATAAGAGATCTAATATTTGAATGATGATTGAAATTCACGCATCTGATTTATAGAGAATACCATACTCATTTTTGTATATTGGTTTTGCAACATTTTTGAGAAAAATGTTGCAAAACAGCGAAAATAATCTGCGAAATTCAGTACACTTGAAAATTTTATGAGAATGAATTAAAGATGATAAAAGATGTCGATAGTTAAACATGTTGAAAATATTTGTCAAAATTTTCCACCTGGCAACGAATGTAGTTTAAATATACATAACGCATAGATATTATTTATTATATGATTGATTTCAACCGTGAAATGGCTGCTTCCATAGAAAATGTAATTGAGTGCTCTGGCAGAAATTTTTGCTGGAATTCCGAATTTGCTTTCATATATTTAATCTATAAAGGCTTGTATATCAAAAACATGCGTGATATGATGAGATACCTACAACATATGGTGCGCATAAAAAAGGGCTCGATAATTTTTTAACTGAAAAGCATAAAATGTGACTTTGTCATTTCAGGCAGTTAGACACGTAACGAGAGATGATTTGTTTGGTTTGAATACAACGGTAATTCTTTTTTTGCTTTATTGTAGAATACATGGAACAGATTGGAATCTTGGATGATATTCCGGAAAAGAATATGAATTTCACCTTTTCACGATTTTACCAAAACAGCGTTTTGCAACATCGACTAATATCAATTGAAAGGTCCTAATCCCTCTTGGAAATAACAATTTGCCAGCAATGAAAGGTTTTGCTGAATTCTGTAGCTTCATTTTTCCATCGTTTTCAGCCCCTCATTTCATATTTGAAATCATTTCCAGTAAGAAAAAATTAATGGGCATAAAAAATCGAACAATAAAAATCCATTTGTATTTCAGATGATCATACCATTAAATGCATACATTCTGAAAATGATTGGCAAATTAGATTCCATGGATGTAAATTTTAGCTCCGTTAACCCTATCAATTTACTTTTGGTGATTTTTTTCGAACAGCTATTATAATTCAATGATTAAAATGTAAAGAGCAAAATAAAACAGCAACAAAAAAAGTATTGAAGATTGAAAAAGAATGATATATTGTTTCATCGATTTTCTGAAAACTTGAAAGTTTTATTTTTTTTTGTATCATCTGAATAACTTGTATCATTGAACAAGAACAAAATAACAGACGTTAAACAAAACAAAACCAGAAATAATACACTTCAACCGATTTTTTGAAGCTCCCGCGCCAATATGGTTTCAGGTGCTTTACATGATTCTTTTATTCTTAAAACGATTTAAAAACACTTTTCGCTTGTCTCTTCGAATTATATTAATCACAGCTTTCAACATTTCTACATTAACACATTTTTTTCTATTTTCAACTACTGATCTGAATCACTTTAGTTTCATTCAACTGTTAAGTTATTGGCAATTTTCATCATTTTATGTTTGGTTTTATATGCTATTCTAATGGCAATTGTCATATGTGAAAGGATTTGGCATTGCTGGCGCAATTTGCTAAGAATGAGTGAAAAAGAAAAGATGATTAAAGCAAAATTTCATGTAATATATTTTTAACTGTGGAATTATTTTCTAGATTAAAATCAAAATAAAATAAACTAATTATTTTTATAGACGATTGCTGAAAGTGTACAACAAATACGCAAACTGCAAACCATAAGAGCAGGAACTGAAAGTGAGCAGATATTATTCATTCAGGTGAAAATATTTAATAAAAAAATTCTTTCAAACACAAAAGTTAAAAAAACATTTAAAGCACTGTTCATTGAAATATAGGCGCTTTTTTTCTGCTCCTACATTTTTTTTTCTCTCAAATCAAAAAAGTTTTGAATTCTTCCAGATATTCATATAGTTATTCAGAATGTATATAAATATGAATTCATATAAAGAGGTTAATTTTTCATTTCCTTGGAATGTAACTAAGAATATGACCTCATTGTGGTGCACATTGGATAACAATGAATGACTCTTTAGATTTGGAATGATCTTCGCTGTAAATACCAGCCAAATCGAGGAAAAAAAATTGAAGCACTTTTTCCAAATGATTTCAATGACAAGAATGTGCCAAAAAATATTAAACCACAAGTATCTAAAGACAAAAAAATGAAAAATTTTTATAATAAATTGAAATTCTGAAAAAATACGCAAGATATCTCTTGCATCATTTTCAGAATCCTTTTAGAATCCATGCAACATTGCGAACATTATCAAAATGAAATTAAAATTCTTATTTTATGTAATTTACAATACTATTATTTATTGAAATGAAGGCGGAAATTTAAAAAAAATTCCACAAAATTGAACTCAAATAATTTTATGATGAAAAAATTTCAGTATTTATGAAGCCAAATTATGGTAAAGAAGTGATATGGAAGATGGAAGTAGTGATTATTAAATATGAAAATGTTTATTTTTGTGTATGCATTTGGGTGAGTGATAAAAATGTATGCTATTCAGGGAGTAATAATATTTATCATTTATCATCGTTAGTCTTTTCGTTTTACATTTTATCACCTAAGTCTTTTTGTAAAAAATTATTTCCTCGCCGTTTATTTGAAACTTTTTTCTCACTTAATTGGTCCTTCTGTTGACTAAAATGTTGACATCATCTCTGTCCCATTAGTATCAACATCGCCACTTTGCTCTTTTTAAGTCACTTACATTAGTTTTCAGAACGAATAAATGCAGTATAAAAGCAAAGAATAAGGCAACGTTCAAGTAAAATGATCAAAGAATGAGTAGAAATTTGATAGGATCATTCAAATGTATGGGATTAGCTTGTTGCATAATACATCCCCTGAAGAGTCAGGGGTCGTATGCCACGCAGGGTTTCTGCTTGATACGTGAAATCTCTCAGAGTTTGGTTGGTCGGTAGTTGTTCCGTTAACGATTAGTACTAGGCATCATTTGTCATTCATATGTTGTTTTATCTTTGTCCACTTTCGTCACATTGATAGATGACCACGTATCATGCGATAAACTTACTCCTGCATCAAATAATAATTGGTTCATTTCATTCCATTTTCAAGACTTGTCATTGATGCATATGGGTTTTTAAATTGAACAGAAAGAACGAGAACGAATAATGCACATTTTTTATCCCTGACTTTCAATTATCGAAGTCCAAATCATTTTGTTTGAGTAAAGAAAGCACCGTCCAAAGATAGAGAGCCGTATGGGACGCTTCTCGCACTTCAAATATCCGGTACGGACTCCGGCTTCTTGCATGACGCAACACTGTTTGTTGTTAGGAATAAAAAATGTGCGAACATCTCCATTGAAAGTTTGCGCAATTTCGACTTACTCAGGAAGTGGAAAATAGAGAATGAATGCCTTCCGAGATGGCTGGTTCACGGAGATAGCATCCGAACCGATAGAAAATGACCATTCAGGAAGTATATTTTAAAGTTTATGACAATATTTTTCCAATTTTCTCATTAGTTGTACATACTGTTCCCATAATGTCATATATTTTTGAAGCGAAATTAGTGGCGGATAAAGATGGTGATTTGGACAGTTTCGATAATCAAATTTGGTCGGGACAAGCATTCTCACTGAAAGTTGATAAAGTACTCGCTCACGAAAAAAGCAAATATCAGGATGTTTTGATTTTCAGAAGGTTAACGGCTTTTTTTCAGTCGTGATTTCCGTTACATGATGTCAGGCGTTATGATTTATTTATCAATACTTTCATCAATTAAATAAATATAATAGTAAGTTTTATGCTTGCAGTAGCACACATGGAAACGTGCTAGCTCTTGATGGCATAATTCAATGTACAGAGTATGACGAATTCGCCTATCAAGAAATGATTACTCATTTGGCAATGTTTTCTCATCCTCTGCCTCGAAAAGTGTGTGTTTCTTGCTCGAGTTCAGTTAATTTTAATTCTGAGTTCATGTATGCATCATTTTCTTCGTTGCAAATAGAGTGCATTGCGTTCATCTTTCTCTTCATCGTGTAGATGAATTGTAAAAAATTTTGGTATTAGGATTTGATCGTTTATTACCGCCCTTTGCTTCATTTTGACTGAAGTAGCTTTCTCGAAAGCTAACGGTTCTTTTTTTGTCTCATTATTCTACTTCAGTATCCTATCTAATTTCAATTCATTTGCTGAAAAATCTGGAATATTGAGTGATTTAACTTTGCAGAGTTATTTCTTATTGCATTTTTGTTTATTTCACTTTTATTGTATTATTATATTATAGATAGAGTGTATCATTCAAAAAATATGCTGTTGTTCGCTTGGTTTCTTTTTAGGTACTAATTATCGGTGGTGGTGATGGCGGTGTTTTAAGAGAAGTATTGAAGCATGGATGTGTAGAATCAGTAACAGTGTGTGAAATTGATGAAACAGTGATCAATCTTTCGAAGAAATTCTTCCCGCAAATGTCTCCTGCATTTAGTAGTCCGAAATTAAAACTTGTTATCCAGGACGGATTTGATTTCCTGAAGGTGAAGTTTAACATTTAAATGACGAAAAAAGAAGCTCGAAAGAGTTTTACTCTACTTACAAATATTATAGCAACATAAAGGAGAATTTGACGTGGTTATAACCGATTCATCTGATCCGATTGGACCGGCGAAGAAACTTTTCAGTGAAGCTTATTATAGTTTAATCAAACAAGCGCTAACAGAAAAAGGAGTGCTCTCTTCTCAAGGTTTTTTTATCGGCTTTTTAATCGAATAAGTTCAGATAGTTTTCGATTTTTTATTTCAAGTCTTATGCTTCAGGAATTTTTTGCAATCATCAAACTCATCGTTCTTTATCATATATGGAAACGCTTTTTTTTTACTATAGTCACAGCTTTCTCAACATAATCTGGATTTTACAAATGTTACTGAACAATGTATTATATTGCTGATACCAGTCCTGTAAAATTTGAATCATGTAAAGTAATAGACAGTTGTTTATTTGTTCTTATGAGTTTGATGACTCCATCCGGTAAAAAATTTGAATTTATTGGAACTTTTTATTAAAAAACGAAAACCGCAAAACTACTTCCACTTGATCATCCTTTATTTCTCCCAAATCATAGACTTTATTAAATTTTTAAATTTTGAAATCTTTTCAGCTCTCATTTTTTCAGGCGAATGTCCATGGATTGACATCAAGTTTATCAAAAATCTCATTAAACATGCATCGACTTTATATCCTCGTCTAGCTTATGCAGTTGGATTTGTGCCCACATATCCCACTGGACAAATGGGTTATCTGTTATGCAGCAAAGATGAGGTTAGTTCGGACATGTCCATTTCATGGATTGGCATCAACTTTATCGAAATAAGAAGTGATGAATTTTGAAAATTGATATCATTTGTCAAAGTTCTTTGTGATTTATTTATTGCATGCCAGAAACAGTTTATTTCAGAATCAGGATATTACGGTACCACGGAAAACATTATCAGAAAACGAAATCAAACGTATGAATTTAAGATACTATAATTCTGATATACATCGCTCGGCTTTCATACTGCCGCAGTTCGTAAAAGAGGTAAACTGCTTTTATTCTTTTGTTTTTTTTTAGTTTGTATTGATTTAATCCGTTATAACTATGCGGTGAAAATGAGAAATTGATTTCCTCTAATACAGTGCAGCAAAACATTTCGCTTCCATTCGTTTTAGTTAGTGTTTAAGATTATTACTTTAAATGCTTGCACACTGTTACACTGGCTCATATGATTGTGAATTAGCAAATTTAATAATACGAAAAAGAATATTTTCCATTTTTAGACTGTATTTACCATACTATTAAGATACTAATGCATATAAGACATAGTTAATTACCAACATTTTCCTCCATTCAGAGCTTACCTCTACATATATGGATTTCTTCTTAAAATTTCAAATGTATTCAGGAATGTCCAATTCTCTCGAAAAATTTTTTCAGGCCTTATGTGGTGACTGAAAATCAGAAATAAGAATTTGTTCCCAGCACTAATGAAAGTAGCAAGGACCAAGAAATGTCTTAATCCTTTTTACCGTTTCATAAAGCTTTAACTACAATTTATTCCAGCAATTATTTGCTAATTTCCAATTATATTGTTAGGGAAAGAAAAGATCGAAAAAAATCCCAACAAGCTGAATTATTTCACTCTTTTTGTTACATCCCTATTTCAAGGGCGTGCACAAATGAAAACTGCTTGCAGTCTGCCTTTTTCTTTTTGTTTGACCTTGCTTTGTTATACGACGAGTATAGTGGATGAAATGACCTTTTGAAATGGGCTTATCGCCATAATTTATTTGTATAAGTTTATCTCACGGTGATGCAAATGCCGGGAGTAATTGATAAATGAAGATTTTTTTTTCAAGTTCGAACTTAAATTCATAAAGGGAAATCACATTACTGAGAGCTAAGAGACTAAGATCGAAAAGCAACTGCTGAGAACGTTTGAAACTTTTTTTGGAAATATTTCAATGGAGTTACTTTTTTGAGGATCTACAAAGTGTCGGATTATTGTACTTGAATGCATGCATTAGTGATAATCGTGGGAATTTTCGCAAAATTATAAATTGGAAGCTTGAAGCAGAAATGATATGTGATGTTACTAAAATTTACTGTCAGTCACAGATGTATAACCCAATAGAGCTTTATTTGAATTTTTTATTTGATCTTTATTTGAAATATAACCCAATAGAGCTCTTTTCGATTGGATTGAAACTGCAATGTAAATTAATTGAAACAACCTCCTATGGAAATAGTAGTGGCAGCCGTAACCGTAATGAGCTGACAATAAGTGGAATGTTGTAAATGAACAAGAAAGAATTCGTCTAATGGACTTAGTTTATTCAATGGGTTTGTTGATGAAATTGGTTTTATGAATTCGATGCTCGTTTCTGGTTGTTCGGTTTAAGAGTTATACGCAAACAGATGAATTTTATTCGAAACGACCTATCACTGATCCCCGACGTTGAATGCATTGTAATCATTTTTATCATCTCCATATGCTCTGTAGCTCTCATAACTACTGTTACGTTTTTAATACCATTACAACTACCACTGATTGTTGTCGAGGGTAAACTTTTTGAACTTATTTATGAAGCATAAGTCGCCCGGAAAATTTCCCCCACAAACAACAAAAATGATAACAAATGGCAGATTGAAAGAGAAGTGCGTTAAGTGGTCACATCTTCCATTTATAATTGTTCGCAAATAATATGAATGACTTCAGATATTCTCCTCTCTCTCCGCGACTTGAACACTATTCATATCTAACAGAAACAATAATCGAAACTAATAGATGAGGCACGTTTTCCCAACCAGTATTTTCTTTCACTTCAGCTGAGTTATGACTTCGGAAATCGGAATTTTAATTACTCGGCCCGTGCAGCTCCCAGGCAATTTAAAATTTGCCTTTCTGTATAATTTCTGCACCACTGCAACATCTTCATTGCAATAATAAGCATTTGAAGAATGATTTGGTCTGATTTTTTGACTTTCATAGCCAGAAGATCTCAGATATGCAGCAATACTCTTTCTAATGCCAACAATGTAAGAATCCATATGTTAAAACTGAAATATTTAAGTTCTTTCATAAAACCAGCTAAAATTCTGTTCTTCAAACCTCACTCTGAATAAAAGCATTTCAGAATTTACTTTAAATCTGATATAAAACCGCATAGCTTAGGCAGAAATAGCTACACTTTCAATGCCCGATAGTACAGATTTTTTATATTACTTCATTAAATGCGAAACACTTGCGCTAGTGTAATAGAATGTAATAGATATACCAAAGAATAGGATAATGAATGAAGCAGAGAATAAAAAATTTTTCAAACAAGAAACAAGAGGACTTGTTTACATCACGGGTGTTGAATAAAGTTAGAAACGATAAAAGAATAATAGACATTTTATCCGACGACACACATATGGAAAACAAAATAGAAAATAAAATCTCAGGTGGCATATTGACAGATTTATATAAATAAATCTTTTTAAAATGAAAAATATATGAAATAGATGAGCCTAAATACTATTTTACTTCTCGAACTACACCTAAAATTAAGAGTTATAGCGTTCATTTTGATATCCACTCCAAGAATATTAATTTTGTAACAAAAAGTAACCGGCTACACCTTGAGAAAATTTAGAATTTTCGATAAAAATATGCATATGTGCTCAGTATTCAAAAAAAGCCACTAAGACAACATGTGACCGTTCATATTGTTTTCGTTTAAATACTGTCTTCCATTTAATGTTAACAGAATATACAGCAGATTAAACTCTATCTCAGCAATTTCCCGAAGGACTAAAAATCTGTGCAAAGCATCCATATGTATGTCGATTATCAAATATTTCGAATACTACAAATAGTAAAAGCAAGACTTGAAACTTCACAAAGTACAGCGACAAAGAGTAATTGATGTTGAGCAAATACTGCTCTAAATTTCAATACAAGTAGGAGAAAATTGTAAAAAAAGGACTGGTATAGAAACTTTACCTTTGTGAATCATAAACGGATAGCCTGCAATGATCATATTAACAAAAAAATTTCTGCATAAACACGAAATGTTAATTTTTTCAAAACCTTAAAGCATTTATCTCTTAAAAAGTGTTTAAAAATATTATTAGATTTATGTCCTGAAATCCCCAAAACAAATTCAAAAGCAATTTAATTCTTTGTAAGAATCAAATGTTCCTTTCTACAAAGTGATGAAATAAAAAAATGAGCATGAAAAAATATGTCTATCACCCGGGATTAAAGTCAAAATTTATCCAAAATCATCAATATATGCAAAAAGTTTTGGATTTCAGAAATGGAGTGAAAATATTCCAAAACTGCAGTTATCAATTGAGAGTGCTTTTTAATGTGTAAACTTGAATTTCTGTCAATTTAGCATGCAAAATTCTGCAAAACAAACTCCTTTCTAGAAAAAAAGGAATCAAGGCATTCACTTGACTAAATGAAAGAATAGAAACAGCGATAAACTTTCAATGCATACAATTAGTGAAACTTTGAAATTAAGAAATAGGTTGAATGGCTACGAATCCAAGACCTTCTCAAAACTTTGTTATTAACTAAAAGTACCAGATATTAATATTTGACAAAATTTTCCTAAACTGTCATGCTAATGTCAATTGTGAGTCCAGAATCTAACGGAAGTTCTAATGAATCATTTTCGTACATCTAAAAGAGTTCATTAATTGAAAAATTCATCATTAAATGGATCATTGTTGGAAGTGGTTGAAACAACCAAAGGAGCAGAAGTTCGGGTGGATATACACGGTGCCCGTGACGAACCCGTCATTATCGTTGTTGGTGGTGTTGTCGTGGCATTCGATGTCATTGCATCCATTGTTACTTTTTTCGATGGAATCATAAGTTCGCTAAAGGGATTCTTCTTTATTTCCGGATTGGAAATTAGCGTATCCATATCAACAAGTTTATTGAATGCTTCTTCTAGGGTTGATACTCTCTTCTTTTCTGTCCACTGAGAAAACATTCTGAAATCCGACAGTATTATAATTACGACAGATATACTTGAATTTCGCAACTATTCTAAACATAACAAAAACCTTAGAGAAAAGATTTTAAAAGAAAAACTTGCATATGATGCTCTCAAAAAGTGCGTTGAAGTTTCCAAATGACATCCCTATACTTGAATGAAGCAACTGACAGTGATCGGAAAATGAGGAATTGACTGTAGAACTGACATAAAAAAAAACCTTGGATCAGTGCCTGTTGGAGGTATAGTATTTTCATTTGTCGACCAAGAAACTGTCATAGGAAGGTGACAAGAAGCGGAACCTTTCAGAATTTGTTGAGCTTGTTGTGTATCAAATGGGTCATGTTCTATCCTTGCCTTAATAGCACCCTGTACTGATGAAACAAAAGGATTTGTCTCCTAAAAAATACATTTCATCAATATAAAGTAATGGCTTCAGATTTCTATTATAACAAATTTATTCAAGCATTTGAAGAAATAGATATCAGAATAGACCTGGCATTCTACGACAATACTTTGTGTTGATATAGATGAATATATTGAGTAATCTTAGAACTTTAGAAATGATTTTGTTAGTAAACAACCCTCGATGAACAAGGCATATGAAAGATGTAAGGGAATTCAGTTTTTACAAGTTTATTTTTGCTTTCCTTATAAAATACATTGCCTCTTTTCCTAAATTTTTTTTCCTATTCCTATTCTCGTCTTTTCCTATTCCTAAATTTCTATGTGAACAGCTAATCGACATGTAAAAATTCTGAATACATTCGTATTAAATAATGATCGGTAATAATATTAACATGATTATATAAAAACAAACAGACCGAGAAAGCAATAGGACGATTGTTTGTAGAAGATGTAAAAGCATCAGGATACGACCACAAAGCTGTCAGTGGTTGTGTTGAAAGAGAAGATGATTGCTGAATGTCAGAAACATTTAGCGGAATATTTCCGGGTGGTGGAATTATAGGAAGAGACCGGGGATTGAAGCTATCATCGAAAGGGTCTACCGAATTTTTCTGAGCAAATGATGAAACAGGAGGCGGTGGTAACGGTGCAACAATTCCAGTTGATGATGGAAGAAATGGCGCCGATGGCTGTACATTAGTGAAAACATCACTGATAGGCCAAGAATCTTCCGCGAATGTCGGAATATTTTGCAACTGATTATAACCTTGTTCAATGTTATGAAGCTCAGATTCCAAGTCTAGCAAATCTGCTACCGCAACACCATTATCTATTCGTACATCATCTGTCGTTTCCAATTCCTATAATAATTAACTATTGGTTTGGCTGCCTGATGAGTTCACAAAATCACTGCATGCTGCATACGATTCGAGTTCCGCAGCTTAATTCAATTAACTCACTTCTATCGCTATTTTTGAAATTCTACTAAATTATTATAAAGCACATTTCAACCTCTTATATTAAGCGTTAGTTCTACAAAAAGTTTCCAAAAAA